ATTCTGATAATCTTACAAATCCATTAACCAAGGTCTTGGGAAGCAAAATGGTCTAGAGCACATCGAGGGGGATAGGGTTGAAGCCCATACAGTCTAGAGGCACGTATTAGGATACCCAACCCAGAGACCAGATATCCTGAGAACTGGGTTCAATGGAAAAAATGAATCATATGGTGGTCGTAAAAAATGCACTATCTTTTAGGTCATTTATTGATTGAAAAACCTATCCCTATGGTCTGAACGCACTTATCCTGTAATATATGGAGGTTGAGTTGTTAAAAATATCTTAATGAAAATCTGTAGCTCATGAGAGTGGGGTATTTATTAGAATTGCAAGAGTACCCTTGATAGATTTTACCTATATGAGTCTACGAGTGGGGCTACTTCCTTTGAGAATTGGGTTGATTCTCAAAAATGCTCACAAAAATCAAGATGGACACAAGGTCGTAATCTTTCAGCTATTAAAGTTATATCAACACCTGAATTGTTATGTTTGAGCAGTAATTCTTTATTTCCCCTAAGCAGTCAAAGTTCAAGTCTGAGACCACTCTGACTCTGGAGTAGAGGTTACTGTTTCACTAAGTGAAGATTCAATGTAGAGCACACCTTAATGATGCATAATGATCCCTCTTTGACTGATAAACTTTCTTGCATCATACATTTTTAATATTAAAATGAGTAGGGCAATGTTGGTACATTTGAATATTATATATAATTTATTGTATATAATTCATTGTACTAGTATGTAATATCATATATAATTCATTGTACTAGTGTGTACCATTATATATAATTCATTATACTAATGAATAATGTACATACATGAGTCTTTATATACAATGCATTATATATATATATATATACACACACACACACACACACATGTATCATATTATTACATACATGTATAACTACATACATGTACATGAATATTTTCTAATAAATGAATCATATTAATTAGATACATGTATATTATGTATACATGAATAAGTTGTATACATGAATCCTATTTATTAGATACATGTATATTATGTATGCATGAATGAGTTGAATACATGAACTTTAGAAGGTTCTAAGAGCCTATAAATAGGACTTCTAAGTTGACCATTTGAATACTTGTGTGACATCATACAACACATTATAACACTTCATAAAGAGTAATGTTACATGAACATAAAAATTAGACTTAAAAAATAGACTTGATAATCACAATCATTGAATAGTTAATGGGTCCCAATAAATACTGGGACCCGCAGAGGACTTGAATCTCCTTAAAGAGAACAAGGTATCCACGCCTCAGACTAAATTGTTTTCATATCAAGTTTTGATTATTTATACTTTGCTTCTCANGGCTTAAAAAATAGACTTGATAATCACAATCATTGAATAGTTAATGGGTCCCAATAAATACTGGGACCCGCAAAGGACTTGAATCTCCTTAAAGAGAACAAGGTATCCACGCCTCAGACTAAATTGTTTTCATATCAAGTTTTGATTATTTATACTTTGCTTCTCAATCTATTGTAATTACACCAATAGTTTGTTTAAAGACTCATGACAAATCAAAAGATCCCCTGCTTTTTGCTTATAGCGTGAGTAGTTTCTTGTAAATGATTTACTGTTACAAAGAATAAAATCATCAAACAAAAAAAATATTGAATAAGCATATATTGTCAGTGCTTTTCACTTCATCACCAAAATATAGTAAGACTGCATTTGAATAGAACATAATGACAAGATAANTAGTTTAAAGACTCATGACAAATCAAAAGATCCCCTGCTTTTTGCTTATAGCACAGAGTAGTTTCTTGTAAATGATTTACTGTTTGTTACAAAGAATAAAATCATCAAACAAAAAAAAAATGAATAAGCATATATTGTCGGTGCTTTTCTCTTCATCACCAAAATATAGTAAGACTGCATTTGAATAGAACATAATGACAAGATAATCATCATAAGAAAACCTACAAACAAAGTTTTTCTTAACTAACTCGGACTTAATTTGTCTGAGCACATCCAGAGTAATGCAGGAACCTTTGCACATTTTTTATCGCATCTAGATGAACAAAATGTGATGCCACTTGTCCTTTTTTTGAAACACTTAGGTGTAGCTATAACACATTGCTTGGGGGAATGTCCTATTAGTTATGTGAATATTATTTTGATTCATGTTTATATTTGGNTCGGACTTAATTTGTCTGAGCACATCCAGAGTAATGCAGGAACCTTTGCACATTTTTTATCGCATCTAGATGAATAAAATGTGATGCCACTTGTCCTTTTTTTGAAAAACTTAGGTGTAGCTGTAAGACATTGCTTGGGGGAATGTCCTATTAGTTATGTGAATATTATTTTGATTCATGTTTATATTTGGTCTGATGTGCTTTACCTTAGCTATCAACTATCTAATACAACTCTCTCCTCCTTTATCCGGACTTGAGACTTATAATTTTAGTAAAATCTAAAAAACTTCATATGTTATGAGTAGTTTTTGTGAATTCTTGCCAACTGTTGCCTTGATTTCATTTTCTTAATTGTGAGTAGTTGTAAAGATACCCAAAAAAAAAAATTCGTTGGTAATTTAAAAATATTATTGGTTATTAAATTACAGCTAAAAATTGATATTTTTTTAAAAGGAAAAATAAAGTAAGAATGAACTAATTAATAAACTGGCGGATAAAATTCAAGCAATGCATACCATTTATGGAATTAAGACTTCATGGGAATAAATAATCAAAAGGAAAGCTTAATTGTACAAATAAAATTGTGATAGTAGTTATAGCTTCTTTATATGGAAAAAATATGACTTATTGGAAATTTATTCTAATTTCTTTAGGGTTTAGTGCCATAGAAAAAAGGTATGGCAACTAAAGTTATTTTTTAATTAATAGTGTCGTATGAGAATTACTATTTACGCGGATCAAGTTATCACTTAAAAACGAGGATTGATCCTACTTTTCAAGAAAAATTAGAGAATATTAAAGTGGAATCCAAGGATTGTTTTCCAATATGGTGTGGTCAAAGAGAAATTGAGGTTGATCATTTTAGTAGGACATATTTTTTTAATCTAGAATCCTAAATATGCAGTTGTAAATGGTGGGACCTATTCGGGATGCCATGTGGTCCTGCTGTAAGTGTAATTCAGTTGAATTGTGAGACAGTAGCGTGAAACCATAGAAATTAAAACTTAATTAAAAGGGTGAAACGATAATTAGTCATTAAAGTACCAATTGAAAACTCAAATTGTTCTAAAACCCATATGACAAAACGGACATCACTGTTGGATTCATCTCGTGAAATCTGGCTAACCAGTCAATTTTTATTTCATTTTAAGACAGTCAGATTTTTTGAGTGTTATAACGTGTTAAGTATCGCACGGTTAAAATCTGCAATTTGATTTAATTGTGGAACCCGTACACAGTATTTGTGGGCATGAGTAATGAGTGTGGGTGTGCATATTTTTATCAAACGTCATTTTTGGTGTGTTGATGATACGTTGGCTCAGAAAAATTGGACTTGGTATTGATTGAGTCGCACTGGATGCATTGAAAAACATGTGTGGGTGTAACAAGTAGGGCTAGACTCTCTCTCGAGTCCAAAACCCATAATCCTTTGGATACGTACATTCTAGTGGTGTACCTAGCCCATAAAATTGTGTGGTGTCAAGGATAGAGCCACAAGTGAAATGTCCTCAAAAACTTTTTGAGGTACGGTGACCCTTTGGTGAGAAACCATAAATAGCCGCCCCGTAAAGACAATTTTTTATAAAATAGTCATTAGATGTTTAACATCAATGACAAGGGCTTGGATTCCTCGGATGCATATGCATGGCATTGAATGTATTATGGGAGTCGGTTGGGCTCGGTGTACATTGTGTATGCGAGTTTCATCTCATAAGCATGNATGGTGACCCTTTGGTGAGAAACCATAAATAGCCACCCCGTAAAGACAATTTTTTATAGAATAGTCATTAGATGTTTAACATCAATGACAAGGGCTTGGATTCCTCGGATGCATATGCATGGCATTGAATGTATTATGGGAGTCGGTTGGGCTCGGTGTACATTGTGTATGTGAGTTTCATCTCATAAGCATGACATGATTTATGACATTTGTTCATGATAGATATATTTGAATGAATGCATGACATGATGTTGCATATGACATTTCATAAGCATCTAGGTTGGGAGATAATCTCCATAGGAAATACCTTATTGAGCATGGCTTATCCTTTATAGGAATACCTAAATAGGCTTCCGCTAAAAGCCCTCACTTGGGCCATATTGATGATAGAGTCGGGTTGTGGCTCTTGAGCTATATTTTGTATTCTCTTGTATATATTTACATTTGGCCTTGTATAANATGCATCTAGGTTGGGAGATAATCTCCATAGAAAGTACCCTATTGAGCATGGCTTATCCTTTATAGGAATACCTAAATAGGCTTCCGCTAAAAGCCCTCACTTGGGCCATATTGATGACAGAGTCGGGTTGTGGCTCTTGAGCTATATTTTGTATTCTCTTGTATATATTTACATTTGGCCTTGTATAATTTTTATAAACAAAACTTGTTCTATATTAAAAAAGGAATGTATATGGGACTTCTAGACAATTATTCTTTTTGTTGAAAGAATGTACATATACATGAAGTTATGGTTTGGTATTCAGTGCTATATGATTGAATATTGATGGTGGGGACATGATATAGTCAACAGTTAAGATTGCACAAATTGTGTGTGTGGGGTAGAGCTATCCGTACAAATGAGACTCCATATGAATTTTGTTAAAGTTATAGACTCTAATAAATGGGGTATCACTATGTGTTATTGGGTTAACCAGTATCACGGGGGTATTCCGTAGGTTGATTGGTAATCAACGGGTCAATCTAGATCCCTAGGAATCGGAGCATCACAAGTAGAGTCCTATGTCCACAAGTGCTAGTGCCATAGCAAAAACACTTACCTGGCAGCAAATTCTTATATGACTCACCAAACTCCTGAAATGCAGGAGTATGTGGACACTAGATTTCAGCTATTGAACCCACCAAATGCAAAGAGGTTGCCTGGCAGACCAAAAAAGTTGAGGAAGAGGTCAGCTAATGAGCCTAGGAACCCAGGTCAGGTGTCTAGAAAGAACCTAAATTTCAAACTTTTTTAAAGATTGGTTATAATAGGAGGTCTTGCAAAAATAGAATTCATCCCCAATCAAAGCTGGTGAAGGTACACTACAGTATTTTTTACTTGTTATGGTAAATCACTACTTTTAGTCTAATTGTACTTCAGTATTTCTTGTACTATTATAGGAGAACAAGTACTAGTGCTAGAAGTGTCGAACAGCTACTGCAGGTGGGTCTGGTGCAACTATTGGTGCTAGAAATGGGAGCTTTTTACCCATCCCAAGGCTTTTTGAAAAAAAAATTTCAATTAAGGGTTAGTTTAAAAATAATTCTCAAACTCAGGGAGTTTTAAAAACGTCATTTGGTCTGACGTTTTTAAGTTAAAAGACGTTAGTTGGTCTGATATGTTTAGCTTAAAAACATACTTTTTTAAGATTATTATGTGGACAGTACGGAACTTAAAAACATGAGTCCAATCAACCTTTTTAATTAAACATGTCAATTGGATTGACGGGTTTGCATAGTCCGAAAGGTTGGATAAGTTTTCTTTAAATTTTGCTGCTGGTCTTGTCTCTGTGTTCTGTTTACAACCATCTAGTGGAGGGAGGGCACTATTACCACTTAATCCTCTACTTCAAGAGGATGTTGATAGGGTCTCCAAAGTCACACAATTTAACGCCATGGATGAGCTGGAAATTCAATATTCTAAATTCGCAACTTGATAATTTTTTTAAAGTGGAGTTTGGATATGATAAATTTATCTTTTATAAATTTTTTAATTCTAGCGTGGATGACTTGATTTTAACTGAATTGAACATAACAGCTGAATAAACATTAATGTTAACATGATCAATATTACAAATAAAATTTTATTTTTATTTTATGTATGCGTTTATAATTATATGATAAAATTAAAATTATTTATATGTATACCTTTTTAATTTTTAAAGTTTGATATGCTAAAAAATATAAATATTTTTAAATTATCAAAATTTATTTATTAAATGTAATTAAATTTTTAAATTAAAAAAAAAACTCATCCTCTCAAAAAGAGATGGAGCAAAACAGACTTAGGTATCGTTGTTAAAGAGAATAATATCAATAGAACAAACAAAATTTATGTATTTTTAAATTATCAAATATTATTTATTAATTAATTTTTTTATTAAATAAACATTTAACATTTTACTCAGAAAAAAAAAAGTAGAAAACTTATCACTAAAAATATTTTTAGGTATTATGCTAGAGTGACTCATTGGCAGTTAAAAGATCTTGTTGGAAGCGGATTTGAAGGAATATTCATTTGTATCCGGTGCACTGCCATTCTTAACGACCATTATTTAATATTTTAAAATATTTTCAACTAATCTTCTCTTTAATCCAGTTAAAATCAAGTCATTCACGTCAGAATTAAAAAATTTATAAGGAATAAATTTATCATATCCAAACTCCACTATAAAAAAATTATCAAGTAGCAAATTTATAATATTGAATTTCCAGCTCATCCATGGGCTTAAATTGTGTAACTTTGGGACCTATCAACATCCTCTTGAAGTAGAGGATAAAGTGGAAATAGCGCCCTCCCTCCACTGGATGGTTGTAAACAGAACACAGAGACAAAACCAGCAGAAAAATCCAAAGAAAACTTACCCAACTTTTTGTACTGCATAAACACGTGAGTCCAATTGACAAACACGTGAGTCCAATTGGCGTGTATAAAACAATCTTAAAAATGTCATTTGGTCTGACTTTTTAAAGCTAAACATGTCAGACTAATTGAAGTCTTTTGACTTAAAAACGTCAGATTAAATAACGTTTTTAAAACTCTTTAGATTTGAAAATTATTTTCAAACAAACCCTTAGTTGGGAAATATTTTTCAAATAGTCTTGGGATGGGTCAAAAGCTCCTAGAAATGGTTCTGGTGCTGGAAATGAAGATACAAACGGCTCAACTACGTCTCAACCACCACCCACATATAATTCACAAACTGGTTCAACAACTTCTCAAGTGCTTTCCAACTGTTCTTTCACAGAATCTCAGGTGATCTTATTGTTAAAGGTGTCATGATAGATTGACTTTACAACTTTGATGTTTTGTTTAATGTGCAGCAGCATACTAAGTTAGCAACGCATGGTGGAATGGGTTCTGCTTATGCAGCAAGGGGAAGAGGTTCTAGACATGCAACACTGAGAAACGGTTCTATTGATGCAGTAGGTGGAATATATTATGATCATGCAGTAGGGGGAAGAGGTTCTAGACATGGTACGGTAGGGAGAGGTTTTGGTCATGCTGCATTAATGGGGAAATGTTCTGGTCATGTTGCTGGAGGAAAGGAAGGAGGGTATACTGGAAATGGTGCAGTGGGGCGAGGTTTTAGTTATGGTCATGGTCATGCTGGAAGGGGAAGGGTTGGAAGTCATATGGGTCCATCTAGCAATCAAGGACCAACTTTGACAACATTAATGCAGAAAACTAGGGGAAGAAAAGTGGGAATGTCAACTGCTGCTACATATTAGCTTTAGAAAATGTGTTTTGTTCATTTTGTTATCAGTCCCATCATTTGTGATTGCCTGAACTGGCATGTCAATCATGGGCGGAGCCACATCCCACATGAGGACCGGGGTGGGCACTTCCCCCTGATCATTGTCATCAAATGTGTAGATGGCAAAGATGAAACTACTCTCACATCATTTGCAATAACTTCCTTGAAATGATCCAAATCAAATATATCAAAAAATTCACTGCACCCATCAGAAAACCAAAATTAGAACAATTAATTAATCTCCTGCACAATGCAGACAATTAATCCAATCACTCACTAGAAAAAAAAAACAAATTTATTTGAGCTTAAGCACAATACTCATTGAATATTCACCATTTCACATATGACTAACAAAACTCAGGGTGCTAAACCAATAATATGCATCGGGTGTTTGATGATAAAAGCATAATATTTAATATTTCTAATTCATTTATATTTAGTTTTATGGCATATTTTCTGTTTAAGTGAGCTGATTAATATATTTATTGAATTAGGGAAGCATGGAAGGTAAAAAAATAGATATGGCGTATTATTGTGCAATTTTTAGCTTTTAGGCAGTTCGATCTATGGAGCTTCAATTGAGGTTTGGATAGCGTTAGAGTTTCAGACTAAAAAACTAGTCTTCATGAATTTTTTAGAGAACGTCTTAAGCTTTTCAGACAGGTATGGTTTTAAAAAATCCAAGTTTGTTTGGGCCTCCAAACATTATTTCAAAGTCAGGCCTGGAAAGATGATCTGAATCCTGATTGGACCAATAAACTTCAATGGGTCATAACTTGAGTTTTCGAAGTCTAAATCAGGTGATTCAAAATCCTAAATTTATCTACACATCCAAGGCTACAACTTTCATCAAGATCCCAAATCAAGATCCAGTCGTTATCGGATAGAAAAATAGCTCGCAATTTTTGGCACGATTTCTGTGATTTCTATCAATATGTTTTGATAAGAAATACCTATAATGTAGGGATTTGAGTTGTACACGTTTTGGGGGGAAGTTTCATATGTTTTACAGAGGTTTTTAAGGTTCCCTAAAGAAAAGAAAGAGGAGGAGATGGAAAGGAATTTTAGGGTTTTCTTATTCAAGTATGTCAGGCTAGATTTTCCAATTCAGTTCAAGGGGATTTTGAACCTTCATTATAGTTTGATGGTTGAATCAAATCAGTAACATTATTTCTCCCTTTTCTTATGAAATCTATTCATGATAATCTGTTTTAATTGTTTTATTGATATTTGGTTTGATTGATTTAATCAAGGCATCTTAAATTGATCAGATTATTACCAATTGCTAGATTCAAGAAGTATATTACGTAATTGTTATTGTTCCTAATCAGTTTTAGCAAATAGTGATAGATGATTGTGGACAAGCTTTGTTTATTGCTATGATTTTCATAATTTAAGTTAAACAGTCCGAACTTGTGTGATTGTTGCTTAGAATAATCTAATTTCCTTGATATTAATGCTACCATTATATTAAATTTAGAGAACTTGTTTTAAATTGTCTAATGGTTAGAATCTAATGAAGAGCTTATTTCATTAGTGAGGAATTAAGGGGGATTTCGGGTAGCAGAGCTTGATGTTACCTAGGATTATTAGATTCATTGAAGGGTAGAATAATGTTATGGTTGATTGATTGTTCCATTAACTACAAGGGTAAGATTGAACTGAAGAACTTAAGTTTTACTTTATTGATTCCTGCTATTAATTTAGTTTTTAATCATATTTAGTTTGATCAGAATTCCAACCCCCCCCCCCCCCTTTTTATTGTTTTGTTATTAATTGAATTTCAGTTTAGAATTGGTCAGAATAAATAAAAAAAATAAATTGTGAACACTCTCTTTGTGTTTGACCCTTACTCATCTAGCTATTGTGTTTGTTTTCTTTTATTGTATTAAGAAGTAAAGTTAAATTTTTGAAGTGTTAACGATGCGCTTCCAAAATGCTGAATCAAATGGCATAAGTTGATACATTGGGCCTGAGAGCTTTAGCACTATCAAACAACATGGGTGTTTGCTAAGCTGAATCGAAAAGTACCTAACTTTATAAATTTGTACACAAGAAATGAAGTCATTAGAAGTAACATGTATGTGTCTGTGCTAAACAAATCAAAATACTTTTGAAATTGCACAAACCTCTCATCACCCCAAATGACATTGACATGTAAGACGAGATCAACCAAAGTAGCCCTAAGAATTCTTCCTGCATCAACAATTTGGTTCATCTGTTGATTCATCCACCAGAAACCACCACCATCAGATACTTTGTCAGATCTACTATTCCGAGTAGACACGTTTAGATGGCTGTAGCTAGGAATTAATTCTCTATTGTCATTTGCTCTTCTCCTATTTAGAACATGTCAATTTTTATGTTGTGATTCACCTTAAGGAGTCATGTTTATGAAGGATTTACTAGTGTCTTATGTTAGCTATTTTCCTAATGCAAACCTCCTTTATTCAGTCTTGGGACTAATTATCTCTTAACAACATTTTCACCTAATCTTGCCTGAACCATAAGTTTGCTAAAAGTGTTTGCTTAATTGATCTTTCGTGTTGCATTTTTTATTTAGATTACGTCTCAAGACACTGATTTTCCAGCCCTGCCTAAGGCTTCCCCAACCAGATTTCTGTCATCTGAGATTGTTTTTTTCTTTTTTTGTTATTTTTTTTTTGGGGGGGCAGGGGTAAAGATTCTGCTTTCGGTGACAACTTTTGTACGTGAGAAATTATGTGTATAATGGCCCCAAACTATGCCAAGCATGGGCTTGAAATGTGCACCTGTTGTATCAAATGACCAGACATTTGATTGAAATGGTCAAGACAAGTCGTTTGATGTTGATGATGGAATATGTTTGTAAGTTATAACACAATCTATTAGCAGAACAAATGACAAAGTTGCATAAATTCTTGATTGCTTTACAAGCTAAAAATGTTGATATTCCATGTGCACTAGAGTTATAGTATGGTTAACCCCTACGTTCATCTCCTATATAACTTTACTAGCTATGGACCCGTGCCTAAAAGCATTGTGTAACAAAAAAAATTGACAACTCAAACATTTAATCCAAAATCAATAAAATTAACATCCTCCCTGTAACACCCCAAAACACACCATGGACGGCATTACATTCTAAAATCATTCATATCATGAGAGCACTAATATAATCCCTTAAGAAACAAGACTTCATTTTTCATCCACGAATATTTACAACATTATCCAAAAGAATAAGCCCAAGTCATGGTTATTACATCTCAAAAATTAATTAAAGAAGCGCAGCGGAATAAACAAAAGAAGTTAGACTACACAATATTCCAAAAGAATGTCCTAGTCTAGTAAAAAAGGAAAAAAAAGGTTGCTCTATGCATCCACCTCGAGATCCACACTCCTGTCCAGTGGAGTCTCTCAAGTAGCGGGCTACTCGACCCTTACGTCTTCCTCCTCAAGCGAGTAATCTAAAAAATGTTATCGATAAGGGGGTGAGCACGAAATTCTGTAGAAAAATTCTCTCAAACCCATATAAGATTTAGAAAAGTATTTAAAAAGGTCGGTCTCAATTTTAACATAACATAGATACATAATTTGAAATAAAGCAGTGAAATTTAAAAAGACTCTCAAGTTTATTTAAAAATATTACTTAAATGAATAAACGAGCACCACATACAAATAATAATCATTAATTGTCATAACCAATTTTCAACAATTCCTTCGGTAGGTGGCATACTTTGTGATAACCTCCACCACCCCTTTAGGTCACCTTTGATTCTCAAGTATCCTTACCGGGAATCTCTTGAGAATGGATGAGCATCCTTACATGGAACCTCTCTCCCCAATCACTACATTGTTTCCCAAGCATCCTTACCGAAAACCTCTTGAAAAAGGGTGAGAATCCTTACAAGGAACCTCTCTCTCATATGCATCACAAACAACCCAACTAAGTATACAATTCTAACATTTATCTCAATTTACAAGCATCTATCCAAAATCCCCAAAATATATCATGTAACAATTCTAGAACCAACTAAGAAAATACATGAGATCACAATAACATCATTTTTCTACCCAACACAAAGCACTAAGGTTTCAAAATTCATAATAAAGAAAGCATTTAGGAAGGAAATACATCACTCTCCAAAAATTAGGGTTTTAAAACTAGAAAGGAGATTTAATGGGTATTAAACCCTACTTTGTTCAAAACATGTAATCTTTGCAAAAAATTTAAGAGAGGATGATTTCATAGCATATATATACCATTAATAGCCAAAACATACATATATAAATACTCTAGCCTCAATGTAAATGAATGAGAGAAAACTCCTACCTTGAATCATTAGTTCGTAGGAAGAACTTGAGCTTTGATCTTGAATCTACCCTTAAATCTCTTGTTTTTCCCTTCCTTTCTGTCTCTCTAATGCTCTCTAGGGTTCCAAGAGGTGTGGGGTGAGAGTGGAGTGAAAGAAATGAGGGCAAATGGGATGAAAATGGGGTTTAAAACACCTCAGCCTCAAAAATTCACTGTTCACAACCTGTTTTGGTTTTCTCTAAAATTACGATTTTGCCACTAAGAATCTCCAATTTGATTCATATGACTACCCTAAGATTTTTCGACGTTTCAGATTCATTTTTAATGTTATTTTAAACTAAAAAAAATTTATTTTTATGATTTATCTCAAAGTCAAAGTCAACGTACATCCGAAACACTAAAGTTTCTATTTTATCCATCCGAACCGGCTATTAATGAATTTTTGTGTTGTTTGCAAATAAAAGGTGATAAAGGGTGATTCTTAAAGCCTTTTATACTTATTTGAATTCTAAATGTACTCATTATTCTTATATTTTGATTTAGGATGCAAATGGAGACGTTAAATGCAAAATGAAGCTAATTGGGCTGTTTTGACATCACTTCGTTATCTGGGCATAACTCTCTCATCCGAGCTCCGATTGAGATGATTCAAGATGCTATGGAATGATAAGAAAGAACTC